TCCCATAACAATAGGCTCAATTAATAAAGCACCAAATTTAACATTATTATGAATTACCAAGTTTGTTAAATACTTTTTAATATAATTTGTATAAAAATACGATATTGGATCGCTGATTAATCTTTCATCAGAAAATAACGATGATAGAGATGTATATTTGATAGTATTTGAGTTGTTGAATTTTGTAGTTTCAGTGAATGATGATGGAATCAATATATGATATTCGTTATTTTTCATTAATATTCTAGGTGGGTTAATCCAATAACCTTTTGGTGTGTACCTATTATTTATATATTGTATATAAATATTAGTTTAATATATATGTGCGTATATATGTTTCTACATGAAAATCAAAATAGTGTTGTTATATAAATTTTACCAATTAACTTGTTTATTATAAATGTTTGGACTAGAAGAATTCATTACTCCAATTGTATCACCATGATAACTACCATCCAGTCCCAATATTTTTAAGTCTAAATTAGGATTATCATTGTGATATTTTTTAATGGTTGATCTCAATGCCATTTTCAATGCTACCTCCATTGCTGTACTTCCATTATCACTAAAAAAAACTTTTTTTGCCCAATCTTTACCGGTCGTATTTAATAAAGTTTCTGATAAATTTAAAGCTGTTTCATTTATACATTCAGGAAATAATACATGTCCATATCTTCCCGCTGAATGAGATGCCACTAATGATAACTTTGAAGATCCGTGTCCAACACCTTGAGTCCACCAACTCGCAGATCCGTCAAATAATTCATTCATTTTATTGCCATCATATGTAGTAAATGAATCTTTATACGCTGAATCTATCAGTGTAACGTTATCTACTAATTGATGTTGAGTAAATGGCCACCAAACAATTTCTTTTGCCTTCGATTTCATTTCTTCTAATTTATCAAACTTTTTGTTATGCCATGAGTTTAAATATTCTACAGTATTAGCAAATTCATTATCAACATTCGAAAAATATTTGGTTAATTGTTTAATATCCTGAAATTGATCGGGGTGTTTTTCTGGTGGTTTTCTTATTTTTATAATTTTTAAATCTGGAAAATTTTTATCAAAGTATTTTGTTAAAAATTTGTCATTTTCATATTTTGTATCTTCAAATAATAAAATTAACGGGATGTCATATCCGTGTAAATATAATGATTCAAATGATGATATTGTTGTTGATATTCCTCCTAAATTTCCATCGCCTATTAAAATTGTTGGTAATCTTAATGATCTATAAAATTCTGATTGTAAAGTTCCTAAAAAATTACACACACACACATATATATATCAATTAGATATAGTGAATATAAAATAAATAACCAAATATAAATTTTTTCACGTAGATTACCTGACATAATTGGACTATTAACACCTAGCAATAACAATAATATTATTGTTAAAATTTTATGTTTCATCATTTATTTTTTGGTTTTTTTAAATTATATGTTACCTCCTGCTGTTTCTAGAAATAGAATTCCATTACTGTTATCATTTGTTTCTTCTTTTGAACTTTCAGAAATAAAATTTTTAATTTCAAGCAATAATCTTTCATCATTCGGTATCTTTAATCGGCAAGCAAATAAATTAATTGGTGATCTTTTTATTTAAACCATATTTTGTTACAAAATATTATCATTGTTGTTACCTCGCTTTTATCAGTTACTGCAATATGTGGACTAACGGGTTTCTCATATTTAAATAAAGATTTTGATCTAAATCTTCTTGACGACGACGATGATATAAATGTTTCTAATAGTCTTGAATCACTATCAACGGGATAACCCGTTTGTACAGGTTTAAGATAAAAAACTTTAGAATTAATCCTATTATTATTATTATTATTATTATTATTATTATTATTATTATTATTATTATTATTATTATTATTATTAATTGAAGCTCTGCATAATCCTATCGAAAAAATTGTTTTGCCAACATTTGTGTTTGTACCAAATATTTGATAAATTTGAAAATTTCTAGTTATGTTATAATTTTTTAACATTTTTTATTATTATTAAGAAATTTATATAAATTTCATAACAAAAGTAAAGTTTTATTTTCTTACAAAAAAAAGATATTCTCTCAGATTTGTTTTATCTTGGAGAATAAAAAACAACTAAATCAGTTGCATAAAAATATAATACAATTTTTTTGTAAAAGATTTTTTTCATTTTATTTTAATTTTTCGGGTATATGATTTCCCTTCATCTCTTCATTCTTTATTTCCTCGTATAAAATTTCAAGTACTAAATTGTTACATGATTTCCTGCATCTCTATGACGAACTGAACCTTCTTTCCAACCGCTGCTTTTATAAAATAACTAACATTATATTATATATATAAGAACACATAACTATGATGATGTTTATAGCATTGTTATTTTTAAATTAATCAATAATTGTAAATCTCAAGTAATAAACATCATTGCCATTTTCATCTCTAGTATTAATTGTATTTTTTACACAAAATGAAAATTTTAAAACCATTATGGTGATATCAAATATTATTAATTTATTTGGAGCATAAAGTTAAATTAAAATGTTGCCAAATTGCAGGCAAGTTTAAAATATATATTTATCGTGAGAAGAGTATCAATTAATTTTTATGTGTAACATCACATCTATTATTTGGCAATAACCTAAACAGGAATTGATTTACATTTACTACTATTACTATATATTTCTAGAACTATACGCACTATACTAATACGTATAGTACTGATCTGCCCGTCTCTACACTCAACATATCCCATATTTGGTATCGCCATTGCTCAATCCAACAGTTAACTGATCTCCAATGAAGACTGGAAATATATTTTCAATCGTAATTTCTATTGTTACCATCATTATTATTAGAAAAGTCATCTAATCTCTCTTGTATTTGCATTCCACAAATTAACATCTTCATCAGAAAAATAAATCTCACGTAAACTACGCAGGATTTAAAACTGACCAGCATTATGCGGAAATGTTAACAGAATTACCAAAATATCGACATAATGCTGGCCAATTCTGAACCCTATGTAGGTTTACGTAAGATTTATTTTCCTGATGTTTTTTATTACTGATCTAACAAACTCAAGTTCAAGAACTAATTTGGAATTTTTTTTACAAAATGCTTTTGAAAGACGAATGGCGACTTTTTTTATAAATAAATCTTGTATTTGTTGTTTTTGATACCGTTGCCCTTCAATATTAAATACATTTTTCATATGCATATTCGTATACTAATTTCTTTTGATATTCTAATCTTGGACTATTCCAAATATGTTGCAATTGTTGTCTCTTCCTTGATTCTTGCATTGAAATGAACGATTCCTTATATCGTTTGGAATCACTTTAATTAATATAATAAATAAAAATATCCCCTTTGTTTAATTGTTCAAATTCAAATATCGTCATCATCATCGATCGGTATCAAGAATAGGGGTCTGTTGTATTAATATGGAATTTTGCAGATCTTTATTAAACTTCAAGAATAATAATATCTAACAACTTCTAATTCCTAACCTTTGATATTAATCTCCAGGTGAGGGAGAAATGTATAAAAAATGCATTTTTTTAGTTAAGATCCAAACAGCCGAACGAACATCCAGATTTTTGATCTCCAATTAAAGGTGAAAATCGACAGTTTTTCCATAATATATTTTATAACAAGTGCCTTTTTTTAAATAATCAAGAGATTACTGGTTACATCTTTTACTACACAAGGGAAAGAAATCCCTTTACTAACTGGAGCAACTTGTAACAAAACCAGACAAAGTGGATATTAATAATACACCCTTTCGTTGGTAGCTTTGTACATATTACACACACTTTTTTTTATTTGGTTTTATCATTACTAAAATACGATTTTTTATTTTAAGACGCTTATTAATCATACAAGAATAAATATAACTTTTGTGAACTAAAATTTATGTGCTTTAACTATATGGAGACATGGGATTAATCTCTCTCTGCTAATAAAAGAAACAATTTATCAATCGATAATTGTTATTAGTATTTAGGAGAAAAAAATCATAGTTGGAACTCGAAAAAAAGAATTTTTATAATTAATATACGCAGGTTTGGATCTGGTTACAAAAATAAACCGGGAAAAACTAGTTCTTTAACTATTTCGGAACAATGATTTATTAGAGGTTTTTTGTGTAGTACAATTGGTTTAAAAATAAACTTTTTACCAAGGAAGTGATATAATTCATTGGTGTAGCCATATTTAGTGTTTTATTAATGCAATGAGTGAATTGACCAGACTAAATATGGGAACCGCAATTAGCCGCAATTCCATTTTCATATGTTGCAACCGCAACTAATTGAGGAGCATCTTTATGACCAGACCAAACTTGTTGGTATCAATAGAATAACTATTTTTATCCAAAGAAAACGTCATATCCCTTAAAAATTAAGCATAGTAATAGTGGAAATCGAAATGTTACACTAATTTTTTATATTGTGCAATGTAACAAATACATGGTAAACATTCTGGCAATAAAAAGTAAAGTGATAAACTGGATTTGAATTGGATTTGAATTTGATCTCCAATTTAGAGAGATATTGGTGAAGTTCAGGAGAAATATTTAGTGTAACAACAAACTTCACTATGCTAAAAAATTACACGCGTCTAGTGATAAATTTTCGCTTAGTATTAGCGATCTACTATGCAATGAACTTCCGACACCCTTTATACAAGAAATTCAAGGCTAGGACAAAGATCAAGTCATAAACACCTTAAAAATACAACAAAGCATGCAAATATTCTCAAAGTTAATGGCTCCGTCTTTTTCCTTTGATAGTGAAGATTCTGTCTGCTCTCAAGATCGCAAAAGAAGTTTAATGCTTGAAACGTAAGGATTTATTTAAAAAAAAAAAAATAAAAAAAAAATAAAAGGAAGAATAGGAAAATTTTATACAGTCAAATGGTTAACAAGAATAATAAATCAATTATTACAATCATTATACAATATAAACAACATGCAATGTGACAATTTGATTTATTAAGGATCAGGAGGTAATAAGTCAGAAGGACTTGCGTCAGAAATCTGTGTACTATTTACTTTCCCATATATCTGTACTATTATAGTTATTATGATTATAGAAACTATTATAATCATAACTACTAAAAAGATCCACGTCTTTCCTCTTGCTTGGACTGCATTCTCATGCGCCTTTTCAATATAAATTTCACCTAAAAAATTTTTAAATTCGAATTTTTTTAAGGTTTAGTAGTTACACATCAGACATGGTTGATCAAATAGTATAATAATATTTACTTTGTTTGGTATTCGCAAGAGATTCTTCAACAGGTACTTCTACATTTAAAATCACAGAATCTTGTTCCTCCACTTGTAATTGCACTTCACGAAACAAAATTGCTAATTCCTCAATTGTTTTTTCAATCTGTTTTATATCACTATGTCGTTTTTGAACTTCTGTAAATACTGCGCGAGCTTCGCTTGTACGAATTAGACAAAGCGGCTGACATGATGGATTGCTCAAATAATTGTCAATTTCATCTTGAGATGCTTCTGGATTGACAACTCTGTATTGACGTGTCATTCTTTCTTTCCGTTGTCTCATATAAGTATCTTCAACACTATGAAAATTTTCAAGCGCATTTGTGAATTTTGCTTTGAGAAACTCGAGCCTTTGTTTTCTAATGCTGTTGTTTGGATCATTTATTGGTAATTTGATATTTTCATATTCAATTTTTTTAATCCAATCTTTAGTTTCAAAAAGATTTTTTTTTGTATTCAACGTAAGCTCTTCACGCTCTTGAACGCCATCATCTTCCATTTGTGCCGAAGTACTCACTAGAATACGTGTTTGTATTACTTGAATACGTTCAACGTTCCTTTGAATTGTGTTTATACTATTTTCGATGCTTGAAGTTTCCTCAAGAAACTGTCTACATTCATTATAATTCTGTGCCATTTATTTTTTATTTTTTGAAAATAATGAAAAAACTTTACTAAAATACCTTGGATTTTATTTTTGATACCTTTTTTAGAAATTCTTTTTTTATATAAATATATATATATTTATATTTATATAGATCTATTTTAAAATGAATTAATTATATATGCCAGAGTGTCATTTTGACCTCATCTTTCTTTTTATGTTTAACCAATTTTTTAAGGAGAAAATAAAATAATTTTTCCAAATAATTACCTGGTTAAGCTTATGCCGAGATCGGATGACGAATTACAACTCTCGTATATTATTTTTATTTTTTTTTTAGCCTTCCTTACGACCATTTCTTTCCAATTACAACAATTATGGGATTTTGGGATGCGCAGAAAATATTTTTTGAGAATGTTGGCACTTTCTATTACTTTACCAATAATTGTTGATAGTAAATTAAAAAAAACCTAATTCCTTAATTAATAAGGGTTTAGGAAAAAATTAAACTATAATTTCTAATATTGCACTAATATTTTATAAATTTTATCAAAATAATATCTTTGTTATTCGGGTAGCATACTGAGACAGATTTCAGGGCATATATCATATAATCTGATTGTTTTTCCTCCATACAATAATAAGATAATTGGGTAATTAGTCCAAAAGTATAGATTAGGTAAGTATTGAGCTGTTCTCAAATTTTGGGTTATTGTCTACTTTTGCGTATGTTTGTCAGGATCATTCAACTTGTTAAATACTTTTATATAATTCTCTTGCTTTTTTTGCAAATAAGATTTTCTTTTCTAAAGGGCACAACAAGATGATTTATTTGCAATTCTGAGATGTCCTCTTGCAGTGGTCCACTCCTTACATTCTTTTCAAAAATTATTAATATTTTTTGTCATTGTTACTGTTTCTTGGAAAATTTTTGAAAAGGGCCCAAGTTCCCCTTGTGCCATCTGTTTTCATTAATTCATATCAAATTACTGGTTCGAGTTTACCTTTGTTGACTGATTTGTATATCCAAGTTCTCCGGCAATTTCTATTATTAATTAAAATAAAAAATATTAATTAATAAACAGAAATAACCTTAAAATAAATGATAAAAATAAAAATAATGGCAAAACCTACCAACACCAACAGGTCCGCCACCGATAATTAAAATCTTTTTAGCTTTTTTGACTGCTTCTCGTTTATCGACAATGTTTTTAACAGCTTCATCTTTATTATTGCTCTCCAATTTTGCAGGTACTGGATAATCACTGCCGGTTGCAATTATCAAATACTTGAATGGAATAGTTTTCATATTTCCACCACGATTATCAATATTTTCATCCACTACAACTTCATTGTTATGAATTGCAACTACGTTAGCTTGAATAACCTTGTTTTTATTGGATTGGAATAGCTTGCTATATGGAAGTATGATTTGGTTTTCGAAATTAGCTTCGACCATTGTACGTAAACCGGCAACCGAATGATAGAAATGTGATTTACGATCAATTAATATGATATTATAATCAGAATTTGTTTTAAGGAGTGATTTTTCTAAATCAGTTGCCGATTGAACTCCGGCATATCCACCACCAACAATTACGATATTATTTGCTTCAGACATGGCGAGTATTATTAATTGAAAATTTTAAATCGAGAAATTTTTTGATTATTAGAAAAATAATACGATTGATATATTTATTTATTAATAATGTTATGAATTATTTAGAAAATCAATTAATTATGATTGATATATATTTGTTTTAATGTTATGAATTATTATTATTTAGAAAAATAATTAGTTATATATTTACTAATGTTATTAAAATTGAATTGTTAGAATTAAATTTTCATGCAAATTTTGGCTCTCTTATATAGTTTTGTTTCGCTTAATTATGCGATAATTTTTAACCTATAGTTTCTCTTGTTCCTTGAAATAAAAAAATTTGTAATCTACCGGATGTATTAATAATTAATATTAATTAATATATTACTAACCTGATTCCGGACTAAATTATATTTAAATTTTAATTGGTAATTGGTGAAGTCGGATGAATGGGAATTGATTACTAATTAATCAAATTAGTAATCGACCTTTATAAGTATTTGTGACCGATGATCACGACTTATTATTATTATTTTAATCGACCTTAATCGACCCAAGATTATTTAATTGCTTATATAAACACAAATTTTCTTTTGAAATTCTGAAATGGTAAAAAAATGTAGTAAATTCGTATAACATATTTTTATTTTACCAAATTTGATCACGTAGTTACTTGTTGGGATTTAAAAAATTTTGGGGTGATTATTAAAAGCAAATACGGTCACGCGATAAGTCGGTCTTGATATTCAAAAAAAAAAAAAAAAAAAAGAACGTTAGATTCAAGTAAAAATATATACATGAATAAATATAAAGAGTTGTTATCGACATGGAAAATATTTGTTGGAAAGCTTTAATGACCTAGTTTCACTATATAAAATTAAATTTGGCCAGGTATTTTTATCTTTTGATTGTTATTAAAATGTATACGAAATCAATTAATTAATATACAAAGGTGCACACGCTTACACATAAAATATAGATTTTTAATGACAAAAATCGATGTTTGATTTCGATTGATAATAATGCTATTTATTTAATTACATTTTAAAAAGAATGAAATTTTTAACTATAATCAATTACATTTAAATAAAAACTTCTACATGTCCAATTGTTATTTTAGCTATTACAAAATTTATCTAGAACAATTTTGATGAATTATTACTCATAAATAAAAAAATCAATTTCGTATTTATAAGAATAAAGAAGCACCGGTGGCGGCAGCAGCACCAAGTGTAAACAAAATGCCGCTAATTTGAAGATTTGATGAGTCCGATGTTGACATTCCATAATCGCGTTTAACTAAACCTTCACCTTCTTCAGCCATTGAGACGGCGATGAACATAAACAATACTAATACGAGTAATTGGATATTTTTTTGCATGTTGAAGTTTGATTTAAGTAATATTTGTAGTATTTTGGTTAATTTGAATGTAATTTTTTCTTTTTTTTTGGATGATAAATTTTTATTATTGAAAGAAATATGTTTTGAAGAAAAAAGAAAAAATTGGGATTTTTATAATCATCTATTGAATGAGTGCATGTGATGAATGAAACATATGAAATGAAACACTTATTTAATTTGTGCGAGGTTGAATTAACACGAATGGATAATTGACATCTCAATGTTTTTCTTGGCTGAACACAAATAAATAATATTGATCGATTAGATAAATATTTGATTACTATCACAATTCAAAGATTAGAATTAATGGCCGCTTAAATGAAAAACTGTCATTTGATTTGAATTGTGTAGTAAAGTTTTATGTGGTCGCCGCTTCCAAATTTGGAGATAGATTATAAAATAATCCGATGCTCTTATATTAGTTTGGCGTGAATTTCAAATTGACCGTCGTATACAAGTAGGTCGATCAACTCATATTCATTATGTCATGGATGATTCATACAAGCAATTTAACGTTTTATTCCACGCAAATAAATAAATAATTTTATTTCAGATAAAGTTATATATACTAAACTATACATATAATATATTTAATAAACAAAAGATTTCTTAATCTTATTTAACTTCATATTCAGCAAAAAATCCAAAATTGTTCTTTTCAGGTTCGAATACAATGCTCCAAGTTCCCTTATGATTTAACGTGACGTCTGCTGAATAATAAACTGCTCCTTTCTCAACTCTATTTGGTGGCGATGATCTTTCCAGTTTTACTTGTGTCTTGAACTCATCACTACAAACATATAAATTTGGAATGGAACCACCATCGCAATCATTTTTATCAAAAGCTATCATTTCAAATCTTGTTTTCTTGTCATAACAAAGTTCTTTGCTAAGAGGCTGAATAATAGTTGCTTCGAATGGCGCTTTGTAAGTTTTCAAAAATTCATAGTAATTTTTTCCTTTCCCATGATTTTCAACATTTAATGTCATAGTGATTTCTCCCTTTAATTGTTCCATCAAAAATAAAAACAATGAATAACGGTTCTTTTATAAATTGATAAAAATACAAATTCTTTTTAAAATAATTAATAATTACCCGATTTTGTCCTTCAGGAACCAAGAACACCGACAAAATGCCTTCGCCATGACTAGGACATCCAAAATTAAATCTGTGCAATGCACCTCCATACTTTCCAATCATATGAAGTCTCTGATACAATCCCTTCTCTTTTTTCTTCTTCCACTCCAGATTGACAATAAAACTGATTGATTTATTACGTTGTTTGGTTTGTTCCAAATCAAAATGCATTACATCATCTTTAACTACAATCTTGTCGCCATAAAATTGCTCAAATTTTAATCCATATTTGAAAAATTCTGATTTAACGAATGGTAAATGAATGAATTCAGGTTTTGTTATTGCAGGTTGTAAATATTGGTGATCTGTATCGTTTGGAAAATGTGTATAAATAAATTCTATTGGTGATGTAAGGAAGAAAAAATCATCAAATTTTTTCTCAAAGTCTGGCCCATTCAGAACACCGGCTCCCCATGTACTGTCAATCAACAAAAATTCTCCTTTATAGTTTACACAATTCCATGAATGGTCATGCTCTCGTCCAACATCTGATCCTGGATTATATCCAGCACCTATGGAAATTGTTGTTGTTGGAATGAAATTTATTATTGAATAAAAAATTTTTTTATTTTTTTCAACCCCTCCCCCAAAAAAATATTAAAAATGTTTTTCATACCTTTAGCAACTCCACTTATTTTGGATACTTCTAATCCAGCAGCATTTGCTAAATCTTTAAATAATTCACTATATCCTTCACAAACTGCTTTTCTACTTTTCAAAATATCTTGACCATCTTGACATGATATTTGTCCTATAAAATAATAATAATTAAATTACAATCGCTCACTATTATTACAATTACAATTACAGTTGTTAATTCATTCATTCAAACGTGTTCACATGAATCTGCCATACCTGAAAAAAAAGCTTTTGTATCATAAACAATATTATCAGTAATCCATATAAATATTGCACGTAATTTATACAGTGGGTCGTCATTCAATGTTGATGTTAAATATTCTGATAATTTTGTAATTGATGATTCATCTGATTTTTTTGCTGCTCGTGCATGTTTATCCACCTTTGAAAAATCAATTTCTATATATATATATATATACATATATATTATATATTTATTTATTTATTTAGTTGAGAAAATAATAATAATAGGACATAAAATCTATTAATTTAATTATTATAATCACTATTATCATCGGACAATACCTGATAAATCAAGGTGATGACCTTTAAAATCCTTAGTTACAATAAAAGAACATTTACTATAAATGGATGATTAATCAAGTTAATATCATTATATTTATATAAACTAAAATATTATAAAATTTGATTTTCTAAAAATACCTAAGTGGATCCACTTTTCCACCTACTGTTCTTTCTCCACCTACAGCAGCCCCTCGTTGCTCCTTGCCATTACTGCTATCAATATGATGTTCACTTTCTGGAGAATCACCATTATTTGATCCAAACAATGACAGTTTACCAATGGCTTTATTAATAACCTTTTCAACTTTACTATTATTTTTATCATCTTGTGAATGATGATATTCTTCAACGATTTTCACCTTTTTTTTTGGAAATACACCAAAATCTTTTGATTTTGTCAAGCATCCACTCCACCATTCATCATTGTCTAAAAGAAAAGCAATTAGTTATTTTTAGAAAATATTTAATTAGGTCATACATGATGGTGAGAAATTTTGGATTTTCTAGAAACTTCCTTTTTAAAGAATAGTGTGCCTTTTTTTAAAATGCGAATTTAAAATATAATTATTCTATTTACAGTCACACTATCTTTAATGAGATGCTTTCAAAAAAAGCAACTAAAGACTAGGAGATATAGAACACAAATAAAGAAACAATCATTGAATTTCAAGTTCAAAAACTAGTACTAGTACTAGTATATTTTTTCGAATTTTATGAATTTCGCCATCATGTATGAATATTAATATGAATGAATTATGCAATTTCCTATTTATTTACCAAGTTTAAGAACCTCAATTATATCACCATTGTCAAAAGATATATCCATTGGATGTGTACTCTTATAACCACCTATAGCCTTAGCTTTATATATAGGATGCCGTGATAATTCTTGCCATTTAATATCTTCTTTCATTTTTAATTAATTAATTATTAATTAAATATTTTAGAGAATTGGAAAAAAAAACATGTGCGTGGGATTATTAGATGCTTTATATGATAATTACTATCATTTTTTGGATAAATTTGTTTTACTTAATTAGAAATAATTTTCAAATAATTAAAAAGTTGATAATAAGAAAAGAGTCTGGCGTGCGTGCGTGTGTGTTTTTTTTACAAAAGAAGACTTTATTTTGACGATAATAATAACAACAATAACTAATAAATAAACATTTGATAATCGAAATAATCTCGCCGATTTCAAAATAATTACGTTATCGGTTATGTCATATTTAAACAACAAGAAATAATAAAAAAGCGTCAATAATAATTTACCACCGAGTTTTTAACCGGCATATCCGAATACATCAAAGATGGTTATATATGGAACACATACAAGCAAATGTATGTTATTCTATGCTCGTGGAAAAATAATAATTTAAAGAAAAAAAAAAGCAGATTAAATTCTGTAGATCATCTATAATATATCATTTAGATAATTTTATTGTTCATGATTCGAGCCTCAAACTTATTATTAGCTAGTTTTTTTAAATTAAAAAAATTAGCCGAGCTCTATGTATATAGCAATAAATTGAAACTAAAGGCAAATCATTACAAAATTTAGACATTGTAATTGTAGTTCAAACATGTAGATCACATGATATTTCTAATATCTACGTCTTTTTTTTTGAGCCATGCAGGGAATATTTGATTTCTAAAGGGCATTCTTGCTAACTCTATTTTTTGCTTTACCCTGCATTTTGCTCTAAATTTTTTTTCTTCGGGTAAAGAAGGTTCTTAATATAGTTGGGAAAAGTAGAAAACTCCGATCGTAAAAATTTTATATTTGGTTTAGTATTTGGGACATGCTGTAACAAAACCAGACAAAGCGAACATTGGTATTACCAAAGATTTCAGGGATCAAAATTTAGTCATTTGTAATGTGATTATAATTAAAAGTTTTATAATGTCCCATTTGTTATCTTAAGTGATATATAGAATTATCCCTATATAAAAATAGTTAATATGAAACTTATTTACATCAGATCTACTATGAACCTAAGAATTATAGTACTATCAGAAGTTACCTTGAAGAAAGAACAAGGTGAGAAAATTGCTCCTTATGTTTTCAAATTAAGTAATACTCAAGCACTTGAAACTTATATAGGGAAAGAAAAGAGATGGAAATTTAAATAGAAAGGAATTTTGTATAGGAATGTTTTTGATTAACAAAAGACTTCAAGGAAATCCAGTTCCTGATAAGTTGCCAAATGAACTATTGGCATGATGCAAAGTTTCAAATTTGTATTACTTATGAAATTTAGAAAAATAATAAACAAAAAAATTAATAAAAGCTTATCAAAAAGTTTTTTAATGAAAGTAACAAATATTATATTAAAAAAAATAAAAAAATAAAAAAAAGAGTGATTCTAAAAATCAACAACAAATAATTTTTTAATTTTATGTTTCATTGAGCTCCACTTCTTTGAAATTGCCTGATTTTTTCATAACAGGCCTAAGTCTTGTAGCTCAACACAGTTTAACCTCTTGTTAAAAATATATTTTAAGAGTATTTTTGTTTCTTCACTGGTCCAGTTCCTAGACCCATGTAACGCTGGACCATCCTGTTCTACTAGACTTTCCTCGTCACTATTAATATTTTCCAGCTTCTCAACTACCACTTGCATAACAGCAGGTTCTTCACTCTGTTCCTCCTCATCATCATCATCCTCTTCTTCGCCATCAATGCTCTCTAACTTCTCGATTACCACCTGCATTGCAACAGATTCCTCCTCCTCCTCCTCTTCTTTTTTAGCGACAGTCAATGGAGGAACAGAACTTAACATTGTAGAAACTGTAGAATGAACTGCAGACCTTGGTTGTTGCCTTGAAAGAATATTACTTGTTGCAGCAGTTGTTGGAATGGTTGTTTGATCGCTGTTATCATTACCATCGTTGCCATTATTATTTGTGTTTTCAGTTGGTTGTTGTGTAGTTGCTGTAGTAGTACTTTCTTTCATGTGGATTTCATTTAATATCCCACGTATTTCGTGTGGTTCTAATGGCTTTAATGGCATTCCACTGTATAATATGATCTTTTGAACGAACTTTCAATATTTATTATTTTATCGTTGTCAATCTATTACAATATTATCAAAATTGAATTCACTAAAATAAAAATAAGATATTCATTTGAAGAGAATGCAATTTACTTACAATAGATGATGATGATGATGTTCGTGAAGAAGAAATCTCACTAGTAATGAATTAAAAGCAATGATGATAATTAAAATATTAACTAGAGTAATGACGAGTGGTGGGCGATAACCACCACCATCCTTAAAACATTTACTCGCGTCTTTCCCTATCGTTTGCATTAATTCTTTTTTTTGTATTTTTTATTCTGTTGGACATTTTTAAAAAAAAAGTTTGTGAATTGATCGACACTAATTATTTATCCTATTGGTTTTTTTTTGGGAGGACAGACGCAAATTGATTTTTTTTTTTTTTTTTTGGAAAAACAATTTATTTTTTGACAGAGTCCAAGATGACAAAACGCAAGTGATGTTATTTGGCACGATTGGCTCTAAAAAGAAACGTGTTAATAACCAACCAGAGGTACCTTTTTTTTAATTTGCATTGATATGTCTTTTAAATCAAAAACGCGGAGCAGATCTCACTGGGTAATTATAATATTCTTGGTGATGATAAACAATTGGTATTTGGCTTTTCGTAATCAATTACAAGATGTCAAGGCAGCACAAGGAAGTGAAACATTTGATATTAACGTTTGATTATCGGAAAATTAGACAAGTGTTGAAGCACGCTACCCTGAACACTTTACAGTCATTCTCTTACGTTCCTCGTGTGCACAAGGCTAATCTGACTGAGTCACCCTCAATGATATAATGATGCAACAGAATTCCAGGGGAGGGATGTTTGGCCCTGGGGTTTACCGAGACTGCATCAATCGTCAAGGACGCTTTTCACTAATCTTCCCTCACAGCACCCAGACCAGAGAAGGCTGCTGACATGCTAGCCGAAAAGTTGCCTGCAACGATCCTACCTCTAGGGTAAGTATGGCTCTGTGACCAAGCTGTCACAACTCTGGAGGAATATTAAGAGAATCTGCAGCTCGTTCAAGCACGGGAGGTTGCAATTCAGAGCAGGGTTGGTGGCCCTGAAATTGTGCTTGGGCTTTGATGTTAAGAGGGAAGTTGTAAAATAGTGTTTGTTTTGTATAATCATTTTTGTAAATTCTCTGTTTAACCAATTTAATGATTTTGGATAGGGGACTGGATTGGGTTTTGCCCAATTAAAATTATCACATGATTATATACATCCTTGTCAGCAATATGGCCAATAAGAAAAAAGTCATAAAATGGTTTGGATTTTGTTTGGTATGTTTTGTATAAATTAATCGTTTCCATAAATTTTCTGTTTCTTGGTGATTTTTTGTTTGACCAACTGAATTTGTTATTTAAATGGGGTAGGGTTGTTGGTGAGCAGGCATGCAACTGACAAGACAGCAACCCAGGACTCAAATCTTGGAATTCGGGGAAAATCCAAAACAGCAACTTCCCAGGCTGCAACCTCCTGAGCTGCAGAATTTCAAACCAGTTTCAGACACTAACTTTATTCTAGTGGAACAGCAATCATTACACAAATGCTGATCCTCATCAGTGATCAATGCCCATATGGTGACAGCCAAACTTGGTCTGAGGGGAAGATAAGAAAAGTTTTGTCCAAAGCCTTCCAACATGTTTGGATTACCTCACCTGTGGAAAAAATCCACAGTCATGAGGAGGTGTGAGAACACCTTATTCCATGTTGGTGACAGGAAATTTTAATTAAATCTGATACCTGCAATCAACATCAGATTTATTATTCATAAGGAACTACAATTGATAATCAGGAAAAATAATTTATTTTATGAACCTTAGAGATCTGGGTAGACATGTATTATTAAAATTTTCATTTATGCATGGCCTTGGTATTACTACTACCTGGGTGATGCAATTTTTCGTTATGTCAATGACAACATCAAATGTATTTAATAATCATAATAATCACCATGAATATTTAATAGAGCAGGTATTCACAGAAGGAAAGGATTAAATAGCAACAAAAAAGCTAAGTTTGTTTTTTATCAACCAAAATATATAATTAATTGTATTTAAAAATTTATTATTTTATTCCATTTTGTAATGGCATTAGCTTCAATAATTCTATTTCCTTAGTATTAATGATTTAATCAATATACAAGTGGTGGTCAATTTAAATGGCATTCATTTTTTTAAATGTGTAAAATTTTTTTAAAAGATGTTTTTACAATAATGATTTTTAATATTGTAAAATTTTTTTTGATAAATGAAATCTTTATTAATATTAATAAAAAATCAGGAAACATGAAATAATTATTTTTCATGGGGCCAGTTGACCAAATTTTTCAATTTCTCTTCATAAGTTGCTGAACAATCATATTTTTTAAATCATTTACTTAAACCTATTCCTGATTCATCTAAGATTAATTCCATTCATATACTTCAATTTTAAAACAATTATAAAAAAACTACAAAGTGAACATAAAATTATATATATAGGGATAAATGTATATGAAAAGTATTAACAAAAGTAATAAATATAATGGTTCTAATGAATATGAAAAGGCAATCAATTTTTTGAAAAAGGTTGTAATTGTGGTTGCTCTTCAAGAATTCCCAAAGAAGAATTTGCAGAATTAAGGGAATCTTTTCAAGCTCTTTCTAAAGTAGAACAAGACATATTTTTAATGGCCCAACTTAAAGCAATGGATGGTGGATC